AGATGTAAAGATGTTTTGAAACACTTCTAGAGAATGAACAAAGATGTCAAGAACACAAGAGACTGTTCAAACTGTTCTCTCTGACATTTGATCTGATTTTACCAGGTGAAATGTTTGAGAACCAGTTCTCATTTACAAACAGGAGCCGACATGTTCCAGGAGTTCTTCATTCAAGCCTCAGAGCTGCTCGTGGAACCATTTCTCACGTGTCTCACCAGATCTGCTAAATAAGTTAGAAATCTCATTGATCTGAGTTAAAATGATTCTTTATTTATCCTTTACATTCTCAAATGATGTTATGAAATTAGTGATTGATTTGAGTCAAAGTCTCTAAAAGTAATATTTGTAAGTAAATCTATCTTTAGGAGTCGACCTATTCAAGATGGCCACCACAGCTAATTGAACCACAAATCACAAGTACTGAGTGTGTCAGATACTGAACTGCAGCTGATGTGGCAGTAGCTGAGAGTCATCCTCAAAACATATTTCAAGAGGTAACAGATCACAAATGATCTCCCACAATAACCTGAGATTGTTCATAAGGTCATCTGTACAGTTTGACTCAAACGCTCAAACTACATCCACTATGACCAGATGTTCTGATGAGTTCAAGGAATGTTACACCTTCATCTCCTTCATACTTTAATGAATTTACACTATTTTACAATTGTTTAGATCAGTAACTCTCACCATAAAGCTGTTATTAATATGTAAATGTAAAAATGACTCCATCATTTCAAATGATAAACGTCATGTGGACGACATAAAGCTGCTTCCTGTAACTTCTTCCATTTCATAAAGAGCACTGAAGATGATTTCTCTGTGATGATGTCACGATCAGTGTGTTTTCATCATGATTTCATGGATCTTTATGTTTCAGATCACAAGTCATTTCTCTTTGGATCATTATAGTTTTGTTCTTTGATTATTTAGTCTCCCTGGAGGCCGTGCTCCAGGTGGGTTTGCAGAGATCACATGGAACAGTTGTTGCACAAATCAAACACAATTCAAGTCACATTTAAAAGTGACATCATCATAATGATGTCTATTGTTACATTTAATAAGAAAAATAACATTTCAAACCTCACACTGTCACATCCTTCTTTAATAAGAGCTGACTTCATTTTATTGTTATTGAATAAAAATCTACATGTTGGATGTAAAATATGTGTGTAGTTTTAAAATATAGCATACTTTATAAAAATATAATTACAAAGAGCTCTGGTAAAACATGAAAGTGCGAACAGAACTGCTCCTGCTGAAGGCAGAGCCAGCCACCATGAAACTGTGATACAACACTCAACACATCATACAATCTAGTACTTGTACACAAACTGAGCTGACACTTGAACACAAGTGGACATCATGGGATGCATCGTCACAACAATAGAGCCACTGGATGGTTTGATTTGATTGTGGAGTTCTGTTCATCACAAACCAAACATGGACCCAACTAATGAAGTAACATGGAGCCAGACAAAACACTCAGAAGAAACATATTACAATTAAATACGACATATTTTACATTCACACAGTAATACTTTGCAAAGCTGCAGTAGAAACGTAGTTTTTGAGGGAATTGTGTTGCTGGATCCACATTTATCCAGTCAGGTCGAGTTCTAGTGTTTAGTTTTATACAAAGAACATTTCTGACTGGATTTACCTGCATTTTGACCTTAAAGCTTCAAACACATCATTGTTTGATTTATTTACACACAATTCTCTTGAAGAGTCAAATGTGATTGTGAACTTTATCACTTATTTGAATCACATTCAGCCTTTTCATTTCTCAGCTCAACCAATCAGATATTATTCGTCTCCTCTTCACCTTCTTAACAACCTTTGTACTTTAAAATATTATTATCTTCAGAGTGAACTATTTTTAGTCACTTCCTTGTTGGACAATAATGCATAAGTCTATTAGAATGTTGAAATCAAACCTTCAGGACCAAACCTGATGCAGTCAGTATCTGTTGACCCATTCCTCTTTACTTTATGATTTCCAGTTTGGATCTTTCAAACCTGATGCTGGAATATCAGGAAAGTCTTCATCACTTCTCTGGCAATCTAAAAAATATAGAAACCATAAGAAAAGGTACAAACAATAAACAAGTAACAAAAGCTCCACACATGAAGTTTCACCAACTTTCCAGTGAACAACTACCACAACAATGTCCCAGCAGATATTTCCATCCTTTTGGAGCGGCTGGAGCACGACGCCTCCGTTCTATTTAACGTCACACAATCACATTTTTCTGACGCGCTCTCCTTCAGTTCAGCTCAACTCTGTTGCAGCTTTTAATAGAATCAGTAAATATTTGAAACTAATTGTTCAAGAAACACAAGTTGTAGGAACTGATTTGAACATCAGCTAAATATTCTAATTACAATTAAAAGAACAATTAATGAGCAACATTTAAATGAACTCTGACTGATTTATTTTCTATTAGACTTTAACAGTGAGTGTGAGAACTGACTGGATTTTAATAACGTGCACGTTTTGATCAATTGACTTAGAGAAATGTGGGTTTTTGAACAAATCAAAACCAATTAGTAGTTTGAAGGAAATGAAGTTTAATGATTCAGAAAATCTATTTGATGAAAGAACAGAAAGCTGTAGAGACATTTGATGTTTAATAAATGTAGCAGGACGACTTCAAGTGTTCAGAAACTTTGTAGGAGCCACAACACAAGGAACACGTGTCGTCCTTACACTGGCATGATGTGTCCAACTCAAGTTGTTACTAAATCTCTTTCAAAATGATCAGGAACAAGTTTGAAGATTCATTTAGTTTCAGTGAAAAACATTCATGTGTAATTTATGATGTTCCTGAATCAAACTTGAATAAAACGTGCACTCTGTCCTTCATGGCCATAACAGCAACTAAAATCATTTTAAAAGCAGCTCACCAGATATAATTCAGTGTTAGACTTTTCTCCTCTGTCTCTTAATAAATACTTACCTAAATGTTTTTGCAGCTTTTGAATCGTCTTCTGCTGAACTTGATCCACCAGAAAGACTGTGTGGTTCACAGAGTTTCTGCACAAATCAAAACATGAAACTTTAAATTAAAATGTTCTGAGAGAACAACAAGTATCATTTTTATGCACACTAACCAGAAACCTCCAGTGATTTTGGTCGACATGGACAAATAACACAAAGCTCTTGTAATTCTCAACATTTACCAGGAAAAACAAACACTTGAGGTTAAAATGATATAAATGTCATTTCTGACATTAATGTACAATTTGAACTTTATTTTTCCAAATGGTTATTGTCACTTAAAATATTAAACATATAAATGATTTTAAATGAAACATTCCTGTTTTTACTTGAACTATGTTGCATTTCAACGAGACAATAAATTTTCTGCACTAATGATGTGATTTCTGGTAAAGCCGTACTTACCCTCGCTGTTTCTACAACATCCTGAAGAACGAGCAACAAACACAGAAACTTAGGGACAATTCTATGGAAAATGTCCAACTTTGGAGGGCCTTTATTTTGAAATTCCACATGAGATCTTGGTGACATCTGGTGAGCAACATCTGGAGATGCTCTACAGTCAGCCTGAAGTGAGACTGGTCACTGGAAACTAAGAGTTTTGTTTTAATATTAATGGAAACTTCAGGGAAAACAATTGAACATTCTCACATCATGAACATACAAATAACCACAAAACAGAGACTAAAGTCAAATATTATGGATCATATTCACAGGCGGACATTAAAAATCATTTCTGAACATGGACCAGCAAGAATGACTTCAATCAACTCGAGTCAAAACATGAAAAACTCCCTGGAGTTTTTTATTTATTTAACTTACAACACAAAAAGTTCTCTACTCTTTGGATATGGGGGCGAGATTGAAACTTTTTGTGGAAACAGCTGAGCAGGAATGTTGGTCCCGTTACAGCTTCCAGTGCTAACATGTGTTTTATGTCCAGAGTTTGGACCAACAGGAGACACACATCAGCTTTTATTTTGAAAGAACCTCGCAAGCGTGACTACCTGGTGGTGTTAGCGCGTGCACAACCAAACTGCGTGAGCGCTGACTTTTTGAAGTGGAGGCTGCTGGACCGAAGTTTAATATTGAACAACTTTACTAGAAATTACAACCATACCTGTTAGAGAACAAACATGTGGTTGGTGGAGGTCTGACGTGAAGCTCCTGCTCCTACACAGAAAAATAGAGACACAGTCACGAGACTAGATTATCCAAGCACGCGACGACACGTGGCTGCTAACAGCTACACATGCTAACAGCTACACATGCTAACAGCTACACATGCTAACAGCTACACATGCTAAAAGCTAAACATGGTAACAGCTACACATGCTAAAAGCTAAACATGGTAACAGCTACACATGCTAACAGCTACACATCCTAACAGCTACACATGTTAACAGCTACAGATGTTAACAGCTACAGATGCTATCAGCTACAGATGTTAACAGCTACAGACGCTAACAGCTACAGATGTTAACAGCTACAGATGCTAACAGCTACAGATGTTAACATCTACAGACGCTAACAGCTACAGACGCTAACAGCTACAGACGTTAACAGTTACAGATGCTAACAGCTACACATGTTAACAGCTACAGATGCTAACAACTACAGACGCTAACAGCTACAGATACTAATAGCTACAGATGTTAACAGCTACAGATGTTAACAGCTACATATACTAACAGCTACAGATGATAACAACTACAGACGCTAACAACTACAGACGCTAACAGCTACAGACGCTAACAGATACAGATACTAACAGCTACAGATACTAATAGCTACATATGTTAACAGCTACAGACGCTAAGAGCTACAGATACTAACAGTAAAAGATACTAATATATAGAGATACTAACAGCTACAGATAATAACAACTACAGATACAAATAGCTACAGATGTTAACAGCTACAGATACTAATAGCTACAGATGTTAACAACTACAGATAGTAATAGCTACAGATGTTAACAGCTACAGATACTAACAGCTACAGATACTAAAAGCTACAGATGATAACAGCTACAGATACTAACAGCTACAGATACTAGCAGCTACAGATGCTAAAAACAAGAGACGCTAACAGCTACAGACGCTAACAACTACAGATGCTAACAGCTACAAACGCTAACAGCTACAGACACTAATAGCTACACATGTTAACAGCTACAGATACTAACAGCTACAGATGCAAACAGCTACAGACACTAACAACTAAAGACGCTAACAACTACAGACGCTAACAGCTACAGATGTTAACAACTACAGATGTTAAAAACTACAGACACTAACAACTAGAGACGCTAACAACTACAGATGCTAACAGCTACAGACGCTAACAGCTACAGATGTTAACAGATACAGATGCTAACAACTACAGACGCTAACAGCTACAGATCAGACGCTAACAACTACAGACGCTAACAGATACAGATACTAACAGCTACAGATACTAATAACTAAAGATGTTAACAGCTACAGATACTAACAGCTACAGATACTAATAGCTACAGATGTTTACAGCTACAGACGCTAACAGCTACAGACACTAACAGTTACAGATACTAATATCTAGAGATACTAACAGCTACAGATACGAACAGCTACAGATACTAACAACAACAGACGTTAACAACTACAGACGCTAACAACTACAGACGCTAACA